ATACTAATCTAAGTGCAAAGTGATTTTCACTTTAAGATTAAAAATACTTTTCTTTGTTTCAAAACTCTCAAATTATATTTGCATAATCTCTAAAACCTAAATATATTTCAAATGCTCTTTTCCATAAAAATTTATATTTTATCTGTTATTTTCTCTACACTAACTTTATACTAGATTAGTCAATTTGACATAAAAAAAATCTAAATACCTTTTTCTTTCTTTCTAGAATGACTTCACATTATAATAAGAGACAACACATTTGTTTATCCTAAGTAACTTTAAACTCATAACAATATACATCTATTTATACTTAACTTGTATTGTTTTATTGCCCTTTGAACCCTAAGTCTAACTACTATTTGCACAATTATAAGTTGTAAGTCACTTGGCGAACATGCAGCTCATGTTGCACTATCAAATTACATTACACATGAGCTACTTGCGAGCATACTTTGTGAAACAATTTTATTATTATCTTATTATTTATTTCACCTAATTTAATCTTAACTAACATGAAAGTTTCATATTTTTACATTTTAGTGACTCTATAATAATGAATAAAAAATACACATGAAAAACAAGAAAACTATTCACCTGGGTCTTCTTTTTATTGCTGTCAACTGTCAATGACACCTTAATCCTACTTTTTTTATACTAATGGTAGTATTGCACAAAATAATTTTTTATTTAATCAAATAATGCACCAAAGAACACAGAATAATAACACGCAAAAAGCAGACAACTTTCCATAATTATTAAAAGTTTTCTGGTTTTCTAACTATGCAACAATAACCGTTAAAACTGCATATAAGCTCATCACAACATGTTTTCTGTGGGAATCCAGCATAAACTGAAAGCAAAATTGACAATTCTCTTTAGAAAAACAATGAAATCTAATACATCATTTCAAAGATGAAAACCTTGGCTTTCTATTCGTTATAAATAATACAGTATTGAACATCAGAGAAACCTATTGGCAATTTCTGAAAGATGGGTGTGGAAAGAATCTAATTATCTATTTCATGGCTCTGTAACCAAATAAAATTGACGGCTACGAAAATTATGCTTTGCTTGAGTGATGGCAATATTACAATACGTAATGAGTAATTTACATTAAGTTTTGCTCTTCTTGGTGGGGTGGTAAATAAATTAGAGAAGAGGGGAAGCCTAGAGAGCAGATGTCACAATTCTCATGCTAGGGAAAATTCTAAAATTTTTTTATATTGCCTTATAAAAGTAAGAACTTAAAACATGGATTATTAGCTACGTTTTTATGCTATATTTATTGGTATACCATAAAAATTAAATTTTGAATGTAACTCACTAAAACCTCGTGACATGCACAGGAAAAGATGTCTGTGGAGAGAGGGTTAATTATATAGATTGTTGGATTTCACTTTTACAAATACTGCAAGCTACTTTACACAAACTATTTCTTTAGTTACAATGTTTTTAAATAATAGACTTTAATTTCCAATTTCCAAATTCTTTCTTGTAGAATCTATGCAACTGCAATCACAAATAAGAATCTCAATTCAAAGGAGTTACAAGATAAACTTGAGTTCCAGAATTAGTAAACACTGTTGAACATCACTTAGTATTTATTTTAACTCTGATATCCTGCTAGAAGAGTCTATACATTAAAGCAAAATATTTATCAAACAAAATGAAACAAATCTCAGGTATAATCATTAAGAAAAAAAAAGAAGAATGATTCCTGTGAGAATACAATTAAAAACTTTCCAAAACCTGTGATAAAGATGATCACTAAGACTTAGAAATAAATGGTTTATGACAATTCTTATACTTAATCCTGGTTTCTTTTGTTGCAGGTTTTAAAATTTTACATGCATTATTCGTAAAAACTGAATTAACAGCATTAAAAACCAAACAAATTAGTCAAAAGAAAATTAAGTATTGTTTATAGTGGTAAAGAAAATTATATATCTCACCCGCTTTACTACGAGAGTACCATCATTACTTTCTTCATCATCAGGAGTAGGAGGCAGGGGTCTGTTTGGTGCCTGGCAATCAAGCAATTCTGAAACAACAAATAAATTAATATATACAAGTACAGTAAATAATTTAATACATAAAAACAAGTGTATACAAATACAGAATAGTACAGTGTTCATAAACCAACATTCTTAGTACAAGTGCAGTCATCAGTTAGCTTTGATGGATTACTGGATATATACATATCCAGATCCTCAGATTTGGCTTCAGATGAAAATCAAAATGGATTATTTTACACACACACAGTTTTTCACTAGAGACTGAATGCAAAATTTTGAAGTCTTCATCTCAGTAGATTCACTATTATGGTGACAAATGAAAGATGTCTATACAAAGTCTATTGTATATATGAATATATTCTTTTATATGAATAGGTAAAGAGCAAACTATAGAATCGATAAAGTATCATCCACGTTGGGGAAGGATGAATTGATACAAAATAAATGTATACTTAAGTGTAGGAATATTTTACTTTAAATTGAAAGAAGAAACTTAAGTGAACTTGATTTCAAAACTGTAAAAAAACACTTTTAAGAAAAAAAAATGACTGTAACAAAAGTTTACTTTTGTTTTTCAGACTCACGTAGACTGTTTTTGATATTTGCTCCAAGCTACACAAAGATTTATCGACACTAGCAATCTGTAATTTTGAACTGACAGATCAGAGGGAAGACAGATAGTAAACAGCACCAACACCAACTCTTGGACTACTCTAATTGAATAGTGGGATTTGACAGTCACTCTTATAACATCTCCATACTCTTTAGTCTCAAAGTGTGGAGTGTGATTTTGTAGTAATGTGATGTGAGCTCTGAACCCTTGGATTCACAATTCAGCACAATGGCTAGGCCATGCTTCATGTCATAAACTCATGAAAACACATCAGAAATAGAACATATTGGTACATTAAACTTTTACATTTGAGAGGTGTACAAGTTATTATAAGATATGTTATTATCAACAAGCAAGATATGAATGTCTTTTGATTGAAAAAAAAAATCTTGAAAATTAATAAATTTGGTCACTTGTGTATATTTCTCTCTTTTGCTGTCCAACTTTGAAATTTTTTTCTCCAGTTCGTTTTCTGAATCCATATTTTGCAGATATTTTTGAACTTATATGATGGATATCAATAGATCTGAATACCACTCGTATCAGTTTAGATCAGATCAAGGGTTTGCTGTTTATGTTTTTGTACGAAAGAACATCTAAACCCAAGTGCACAGAATCAGTCTTACATTTCACAATATTTGAGCTATTTCAATTTATTCTTTGTCTTTTGCACAAAGCTACAAACTACTCAAAGTACTATCTGTGTATAGTTGTCCTTAATTTTGAAGTGACAGATTAGAGGGATGGCAGCCAGTCAAAAGAGCCCACCACAAACTCTTGCACTATTCTTTTTTGACTGAATAGTGGGATTTGACAGTCACTTTTATATCACACCCACATCCTTAAACCATGAACCTTCACAATCTGAGCATGCTATAACCACTAGGCTCTCCAAAGTTATTATGTCAACTATATTTGTGGCTATAATGTTGATTGAAGTTGTTCAAATATCGGCAATGTATCAGCCACATGCCATATAATGTTGATTGAAGTCATTCAAATATCGGCAATGTATCAGCTACATGCCAAACTCTTATCTAACAATGAAATAAAACAAGACAACAATTTATTTTGACTTTGTATCTTATTAAAAAAAGAAAAGAAAAATCCCCATATAAATATTCAATAAGAATAATTGGAATTTTTTTTATGGTGTATAAATAAATATTGGCTCTTACCTTCATGGACAACCAAAGATTTTAATGTACCGTTGTTGTAACCATCTAGCGGTCTACTCAAAAAGAAAAAAACAAAAAACATTATATATATTTTTACTACAAACACTGGTCTTCTAATTTATTTTACAAAATAAATTTACACTGTGGTATTCCTCAATTCTTATGAGCAATAACTGTCAAAGAGCTACAATAAACCTTGCAAGTTAAGAGCTTCTTAAGAGAGACACATGTGTACAAATACACAGCAACAGCTCTTTATTTACAGGCAAACATAAAATCATAGGAAGGTTGGTGTTGATTTTGTTTATATACAGCTTTATGCTCTTTTATAAGAAAATTAAGAGTTTAAAGCTCTCTACTTGAACTTAAATTTTGCACTCAAGCATTATTTACTCTGCAGCTAATTTATGAAGTGTGTCAAGAAAAGGAGACATCACTGTGTTTGAATTTTAATTCATAATCTGTTAAATTATAATTTGATAAATTACAGTGGAATTCTGTGGTACTAATATAGTAATTTATGATTTTGGGTTATTTTAAAATGTGTATATATATATATAAAACCTAAAAAAATGTATTTTGTTTCACATCCTCCACATGCAAAATTTGATAAGGCTTAGCAACCTATGGCAAGCAGCAAGCAAGAACAAAATTCGTAACTAGAGGATATATTTGTTTGCTATACATATTTATTTACTGTTCTATGTTTTAAGAAGAGTTTAAAACTTATCTGTAAAGATTAATAATGTATTATAACTGAAACGTGACTGTATCTTACAAAATACTAGTCCAGTAAAACACAGTCAAGACAGGTCACTTTGTAAAGGCCAGTTTTATATTCTTGGATACGGTAACATGAGTGCATGTGCGCCACGTCATTGCAACTTTTGTAATGTTAGACAAACATGGCTGAAAGGTCAATATAATAAAAATAATTAATATATATACAGTTGTATGATGTTATGAGATTTAAGTTATTTAGACCAAACATTTGTGTTTTCATGTTATAATTTGTAATCATTCTAGAAAGAAAGAAGCATAACTTATATCTATTTCCTAATTTTTATGGTGGTTATGAGGTCGGTCAAATTGATCCAACCAGTACAGAGATACAGTAGCAAAAATAACAGATAAAATATTAAGTTTTTCTAAAAAAACATTGATAATTATTTGGAGGTTATAAAGATTTCACATGTGAAATTTGAACATCTTCTGATGCATAAAAGTATTTTTAAGCTTAAAATCAAAATTAATTTGCATGCTAGATAGTCAAAATTCAAAAAGAAAAAAGGCATGAGAAAAACATTACTTAAGAAATGTTAAAACTTAATAAAAGAATATATATATATATATATTTTCCGTATGAAAGCCTGGTAATGTTTACTGATAATATGCAAAATGTTGTGAAGATACACTTACTAATTTAAAAGTTTTAATACTATAACTATAACAAGCACAAAAAGGTTACGAGGTCAGTCCCTGGGACTGAGCCCATGTTGAAGGAGTTAAGTAGTAACTTCCTTGCAGTTTTGACTATATCAATTTAACAAACACAATACGCTTTACTTCCTTGAGAAGGGTTGATGATCCAAAGAATAAAATCTACTTTATCAATATATTACTTCAAGAAACAGAGATTTAAAAGTATCACTTATTTAAAATCTTGTATATTTACTTCCTGAATATTTCACTTATCATTATGCCACAAGCATGTTTTGTCATTATCCTTATACAGAACACTAAAAATTTTATGTTTATTTGCCTGCACTTACATGATTTTCTGGACTACAAAGAACTCGCATGTCAAGTATAAAATAAATCGTACATTAATACAATTTTAGCTAAAAAACAAATGAAATTAAAAAGGATTTTAAAAGGATCTCAATTCTATCCCTCCTAAGATGCTAACTATAAAGATTGTTTTAGAGCAAGGCCAAATTGGGCTGTCTGCCTTGTCCACCATGGGGAATCAAACCCTGGATTTTAGTGATGTAAGTCCATAGAGTTATTGCTGTCCCACTGGTGGACAACCATAAAGAGAAGGAAAGTTTAAGGTAAGAAAATAAAAAGATATTTGAAAGTTCAAGATATTGGTATCTTCAGCCTGAACAACACATTATGTGATACAATTGGATCAGAGTATTTTATAGTTGAGATATAGCTGTCCCTAATTTTGAACTACTAATCAGAAGAGATACAATTGGCAACTATAAAGGTTCTGTCCAGTTTCAACCAAGTAATGAGATTAACTTCACTCATATAATGTAACCACAGGTATTAGTGTAGAGCTTATTCAACAGCATCACAAAACGAATTCTGGACCTTCTGATCCACAGCTCAGCACACTAACTACTAAGCCACATCAAGTCTGGAAATTCAAGGTCACATCCCATAAACTTATGTTAATAAAATCTTCAACTATAAAATATTGATAACTTCTTTTAGACTAGCTGTACTTTTGATCTGACATATATAATTGAAGGTTATCATATAGACACTGCACAATTCTTATACACTTACAGTGGCCTTGGTGGATCTGATGCTAGAAGTGTTCCATCATTCTGCACACATCCATCCTCATCTTCCTCTTCATCAGAATCAGAGGAGGCAACAGCAGCAGAAACGCCCTGTTCATGGGTGTTTGCATTGACCCATGTTACATGCTCACTAACAGTTGGCATTGCCGGTCCTTTTCCACTGGCTTTCTCCATTCCAGCCAGACTAGCACCTACTCCACTACTGCTACTTTCATGCGCTAGTTCATTAAGCTGTGCCGCTAATAATTCTAAATCCTGAAAGTACCCAAACATCATATTTAACTCATTTTAAAAAACAAATGCATATAAAGTTAAATGGGAACCAGAGTCAAATATTTTTAACTGAAGAATGCTGCAAAAGATAAAAGTAGCTATAAACTGATATAATTTTACAATAGTCTAATTCTTACTTTTCTCTATCAAACTGTTTTGTTTTAAACATGGCCTTCACACAGTTTATGTTCTTCTTTAACATTCGGTAATAACAAACAATTTAAATTCTCTAGTAGTAATTTGTTGTAATGAATTAACCACACTTTGAGTTGTGCATTGGGGAAATTAAACTATTGATCCAAAAGTTAATAAATCGTTGGGATAATATGAAATTAATTTTAAACAAAATTCAATGTATAAAAACTACAGATGTATATATATACTTCTGATCCATATAAGATACTGCAATATCAATTCTGTTATAATGTGGAACTTCATTTGTTGTTACTAATGTTTTAAGCTTTATTAAAATAGATTACTAGGACTGTGCTCTTACTTCCGGTCTTCGAAGTGGAGCTTTTAATCATTACAGAACTGTGGCTCTCTGCAGGTCTCGGAGGCTGGGTTGGATTTTGATTTTTTGGAGGTGTTGCTGGTTTCCTTTCTTTTTCCTGTCTTTCTTCTTCAACTGGAATGGGTGGTAGTGGTTTATTTGGGGGTAAAGGGTCTGGTACAACTAAAATGAAGAATGGAGTGCAAAATTAATGGAAGTTTCTTTTTTATATTTTAAGCAGAGTTACACAAGGGCTATCAGTGCTAATCACCTTAATTTTAAAGCAGCAAGTCAACACAACCCACCACACTCTGGTTACTCTTGTGAGATTGAATGGAAGGATTTGATAGTCTCTCTCTTATAAAACACCCACAGCCCCTAAGTGCAATGCTCAATTTATATCTTTTACTTGGTAACAGGATGCAAACTACAGAACCTCAGGTCCACAGTACAGCATACTAGCCACTGGGCCCCCTTGGTCTTAATGGAAGTTATAGAAATATTCTGGAAATTATCATAGTGCTGTAATCCTTAAGTACAAAGATGTTTGATGTTTTTCTTTTAAATGTTGTTTAATATACAAGATACATCAAATGAAAAATACAGTAATTGTCTCATCTATTAAAAAAACATTGGAGCAAACTTCCTATACTTAATTTTTTGCAAATAAACATTTACATAAAGGTACTTAATAAAATGTACCTTTATCTATTACATACAAGTCCAAATATCCAAGTTTCAAAATATGAACAAAAGATGACGATCAAATAAGGTAAAAACAAATAACTTGGTTATTGGTTTATCTAATTATGATTTGATCTTGTGGTTTGAAAATACATAAAAATCAAATTACATTTCGGAATGACAACAACTTAGTCCATACACTCCAATATTTACATGATAAATTGTCGATGAAGGAAATGATACTTAGAATATTGGATGAAAGTCATAAATACTGACAACAAAAAACATGATAAACCAGAAATTGATTGATTAAGGTTTTAATAGTTTTTTTTTTTTATAAGTTACAATAATTTTTTGTTTGTTGTGCTATGTGAATTAAAGTCTTTAGGTATGAAATATAATGATCTTGATCAAGATTAGTAAAGGAAACTCCCATAAAATGATCTCAAAGCTTAATGTACTGAGACACCTGGAAATATAGTCTCACCTTTGATAGGTGTGAAGGGATGCAATTAGGCTTAAAATTTACATTTTGTCATAAATATGAAGGAGCCTTCAATTAAGAACATCTATGTTCATAATTGTTTGAAAAAGTCACTGAAGGCAGGAGTTTTTTCCAATGGAAAAGATTAACTTCAAGTTACCAGGCTTGCCTCAGCTTTCCCATGTTATACTTTAATAAATTTTCAAGAGAAAGGGAGGAGGTTGGGAATATATGAAATATGTAAGAACTATTAAAGTAGAGTATGTAGTTCTATTTAAGATCATTTAGTTTTATTTTGTAAGGGTGGAGGTTGGGAGTTTCATCGAGTATAAATTTGAGGGTGGGTTCATTTATACTTTAGGAACTATAAAACCTTTTGAGAGTAACTGCCTTCCTACAACTGGCTGCAGACAGTGAAGGACAGTAGGAGTTGATTTTCCATGTTCGCTTGCTAGTTTAACATCAGCATTTGGATTTTGTCTGATAGATGGGATATCCCCCAATGCATTTGGGAACTATTACCACAGGCATATGACTTTAAGGTGACATCTAGGACTGACAATGGAATCATTACCAAAATACATATAATTGTTAAATGTAATGCCTAAAGTATATATAATGAAAATCTGTTAACAGAAAGAGATTCAATCAAGACTATCAAAATAAAAATACATGTATTAGAAACTTGTAGCGATAAATACTTGTAGCAATAAACAAAATAAATGTAGGGGTAAAGGTAAAAATAGAAAAAATGGATTGATTTTGAACAATTTTGTAAAAATCTATATTCTGCTCTTGACAGACCTGTTAATTCTTTCAACCTGGGCTCGGTCCCTCGGACCAACCTCAACCATTTTGTGCTTGTTATAGTTTTCATGCTTTAACTTTTAAATTAGTTAGCGAATGTTAACAAGATTTGGCAGTTTATCAGTAAACATTACAATGCTTACATATGCAAAATATCTAATTTTTTTATTAAGTCTAAGGGTTTGTAAAGCAATGTTTCTTTCATGCCTTTTTTTCTTTTCACATCTTGCCTATCTATCATGCAAAGTAATTTTCATTTTAAGATTAAAAATACTTTTATGCAACAGAAAATTTTGAAATTTTCACGTGCAAAATCTTTATAATGTCCAAATAGTTATCAAACATTTCTTAAAAAAAAACTTCATATTTTATCTGTTATTTTCAGTAATTAATCTCTGTATGGTTTGGTAGATTTGACCAATCTCACAACCATCATAAAAAATTAGGAAATAAACATAAATTATGCTTCTTTCATTCTAGAATGACCACAAATTATAACACCAAAGCATAAATGTTTCAATGAAATAGCTTAAATCTCATAACATTATACATTTATATATATATTTATTATTTTCATTATATTGTCCTTTCATCCGTGCCTAGCTAACAATACAGAAGTTACAACGATGTGGCTTACATGCACTCATGTTACCATATC